TGTCGGAATTCACACCTGACAATATTCTCTACAGCCATTTTTTGTTCCGCTTGACATTCCTTTACAAAACAAAACAACATCTTTTTGCTGAAAATTGCTATTGACTATTGCCTTTATCGAACATCGTCGAACATCGTCGAACATCGTTTCTTAAATCTGTCTTTATATGCTTCTTGATGTTTCCACTGTTAAAACATTGAAGAACATTCTACAGAAAATAATCCTGAAAAAATAATGGCGACATTTGAGTCAACTTTACAATTGAGTAACATTTTTTGTTATTGGAGAATTTTTTCAGAACAATCAGATAAACCGCATTTTGTGCCGATGTCTCGGTAGGTTGGTTTTTGGACTGACGACGCCTTCTACTAAAAGATAATGAATACATTACTTACATACTTATTTTCGATATCTTAATCGATCTTAATTTTGATTGGGAAAGAAAAAACCAGCGGAATACAACAGTAAGATAAGCCAGAATTGGCCAGAATTTGGTTTAATTGTTTTTTTATTAGCAAATAATGGCAAGAAAATTCCACAATTTTTCAACATTGGGTTTTTGTTTGTTTTATTCTGATTGATTCTGATCAGTTGGGAAATTCTATGCGTGGGTGTAGAGCTTTGCCGCTGCTATTTATAAGGCCTTCATTGCTATGCACGTAGTCAATAAACGCCTTCCAATTTTCGTCTTCCTGCAGTGTTTCATGATTCCCAACAATGATTAATAGAGAAATGGCACGGGTTAGAATCACGTTTAAACGCTGAAAGTAAATGAAAAAAATGGAAAAAATTGAATTACTTAATATCAATGTTGATCAAAACGGTTTGCTTCGGTTAACTTACACGTTCGTCTCTCAAGAATCCTAGTTTATCCTTCTTTTTCTTCTTTTGAGATTTCAGCTCATTCTCCGTATCAGAGCGTACTGTGGACACAATAATGATGGGTTTCTCTTGGCCCTGGTAGATTTCGGCTGTTCCAACCGATATACCGTCATGGTTTTTCAATTTTAACAAAGCACGAATTATTTGGCATTGTTTTTTGTACGGCGATATTACGCCGATATCTTTGTCTGTTATGCCCAGCGGAATGAGTTTTTCAACAATATAGTTCATAACAATCGACACTTCATCACGGTTGCAGTAACTAACATCTTTGAACTGTTCACACGTCCCAGCAACAGTGTGAAAGATGATTGGGAACTGCTGGTTAGGTAGAAAATCGGATCCAAGCATTAGTTCTGTCGATTCTGAAATGAATGGAAATAAATATTCATTGTTTAGGAAAAAAATTGTACAAATTCATTTAATTTATTGTTACCTGGACACGCTTTACTCTCCAAAGCGCCTTCATAGAATAATTTGTTTGGAATGTGGAGAATAGTGTGATGGCTTCGATAGTTCTTTGTAAGCTGAACAATAAAGCTCGGATTATATTTCCCAAAACTGTTGCTTTTGTAGGCTGGTAGCTTCGACAGCCGCTCCATATAAGATGTTTTCAGTCCGTATCTGGAAGCGTGTTTTGACTGAACAACTGCATCCAGTTTCTTAATGTCGCCTGATAATATTATTTTAGCGCCGACCGATTTATTTTCAGTGCATAGACCTGAAAAAATGACAAAGAGAAGAAAATCGAAAAAAACCATATTCGTATTCATCGTTGTATTTGTAATGCAAATTGCATGGAAATTTTGCAAAATTTTGAAAATGTACAAACCTGCAATAGGTATCAGCGTGGTGGTTTCGGTGGAACTCGCTGCCTCGTCAATAAAAACATAGTCAAAATGACCAGAGAAGAAACCAGTAGTTCCACGCGAACGTGTCAAGCATCCCGATGTGAGCAATGTACAAATTACAATGCGGTATTTGTAAATTTGCTCCAACGGCGGGAACTGAAACCCATCACCTACTAAATTACATACTGGGCGAATGGCATCGGTCACCTGGTCTATTTTGTATGATTTTGCATACATTCGAAACAGTAGACTAGGGCTCAGCTCATTTAGTAGGCGATGAGTTATTTCATCGGATGCCGCATTGGAGTTGGCACATACCAATACGTGGCTGGTGGTTGTTTCCATAATTTCAAGAATCGCAGCCACCAACGTTTTAGTTTTCCCTGTTCCTGTATGTTGCGCAAATAAAATCATTAATCATAGCATATATAGTTTTTCTGGGTTTAGTAAAAAAAGGCACAGAGGCGCATACATGGAAGAAAATTTCCAGGAAAAAATCCAGGAGAGGCTAATGT